TATGAAATCAGGGGTCTGAAACAGAATAGCGGCAACAGAGCAACAAACAGCCGGTGTTTTGGCAGGTTCTTAAATTAGAATTGTGAATCCAAAACTTAAATCTGATCATCTTCCGATAACACAACAAACAGCCTCTAATGTGTCATCTAAGGTGAACTGGCTGAACAAAACCTGCTGCACTAAATTCACTCAAGGAGGAAAAAAAAATGCTTCTGTCTGCGACTATTGTGTTGCAAGAGTTGAACTGATTCGCACAGCAGGCGACTTTGGAAAAATCAACAAGGGTGATGACGGAGGAGCTCAGCTAGGTTTAAAGATGTTGAATCAGCCGACTTGCACTCACGGAAAACCAGCTGACAGCGATGATGTGATGCGGCCTTCAGGGGACAGCCATCAGTACGTCGGGAGTGATCACTGGTGCCGGCACCCAATAAATCACAACCGGCACCACTTTCAGACCGTTTCACATTTTGCATTCTCCAGTTAGAATCACAGAAGACCAAAAAGGTAAAAAAAAAAAAAAAAAAAGAAGAAAGAAATTCCCTCGTGGGTACAAAGTGACCACTGAAAGGTCACCTAATTGGAAAGCGCTGACCGTGCATGTCTGAGAACATGGCAGCCGATTACAGATCATGAACTGATTTTGAGGAAAGTGACGAGAGAGAGAATCCTTCTTGAGGCAGTAAATAAACAACTCAGACCTTAGAAGCGAAGCAAAGATTATATTTGTATGCTGTCAGCAAGGGAGGAAAGGACACAACTGGAATGAGTCTGCTAGGAGTGTTAAAGACAGGGAAACGTTGTTCATGGATTATTGACCACATTCGACGCTGTGGCCACATCCGTTTCTTTCTTTTTATAGTCTTCTCTTCCCTCCCCACTTATCTTCAATCACACGCCTGTTCTCTTCTCCCAACGTGCACTTTGTTTTTCTGCGGCCTGGTGTTGTAGGAATGCACAAGTGTACACACGGCACAAGAGGTTACTGCAGGTCAGCACCCATTTCAATAAACACCCAGGAATGACACGGTCTCATCGGTTAAAAAAAAAAAAAAAGAAGCAGTTTCTACTTTTGGGAGATTTTAAACCACAAACTTTGGCTAAATCTGTATTTGCACCCAACTCTCACTACAAGTCATAGGACTTGTTACGGCTCAACTGCAGTGCATTGTGGGACAGTGCACAGGTGACAGCCAACAAAGAAAAAAACATTGAGCAGGGGAGGGGGGCGGGTGCGGGAGGAGGGTCGGGGGGGTGGTGGCAGGTTGCTGTGGTAACAAAACATGTCACGGGGCTGAGTAAATATAGGCTAACCAGTAGGCGAGGTGCAGGGAGAAAGGCCCAGAGGGGAGAAAAGAAAAGGGGAAAGTGAGACATTTTAGAAGATCAAGGCAGTGATGGAAGGGACGTAGACGAGCCAAGAGACGTACTAAAATATGAATTGATTCCTGGGGAAAGTTGCGTGTGCTACGGTCAGACTGGATATCGCATGTGTTGGTGAAATATGTGTCCAGCCATGGCGAAACTGGGGACGGGCTTGGAGCTGTGGGCATTTCACACGCGATTGATTGGCTATTGCAGTAAGGGAAGCGTTAAGAAGACTCCGCGGCGCTAGTCTTCGGTTTTGGCCCCAGCTCGGGGGACAGGGAATACTGGGCTCCTTTTGTACAGAGGGTCAAGGGTTGTATCTTTTCAACACATTCTGGGAAAACGGCAACTAGAGCGAGGGGAAAAAAAAAAAAAAAAAACTGCTGAAACTGCTGCTTCAGAGCAGACGACAGAAGGCCGGCACTACTGCACAGAAGCAGAAGGCTGATGGACAAAAGCCACTCAGTGTCAAACTGAACACACACCTACCAGGCTGCTCCAGAGAACCCCCCCCCCGCCCCCCTCCTCCCCAATCTGTCCCATCTCACACCGTGTCTTGGTTTCTCCCCGTGTGAGAATGCACTCCACACAGAGTGTATCACGCGACGTGAGAGTTTGTCGAGGATGTTCTTGTGCATCTGAACGTTGCACGTTGTTCCCCCCCCGGGGAGCGGCAGGGTTTGTACACAGCAGCTTCTGGCCACGACAACGCTGAGCAAACCACAAGAGAGACCAAATCGTTGGCCTAAGCATGACCCGGCCTTAGACGAGCCAGCAGCCCGGCATTAAACAGAAGGACTGGAGTTAGAGTTAGTTGTATCTACCCATGACGTGGCTCCAATACGACTCATTGCTGTACAGAAGGTGGAGAGGGTAGAAAGGGAAACGTCAGTCCTGGGCTAACGAGAACAGCTGAAAGAAAACCACAGAAAGGGGAAGACGCACCGGAATAGCTGTTGAGATGACCGTAAACGAGGAGGGAAATTACCTGCAGACTGTTTGATGGCTGATTTACAGTAAAGGTACTATGATAGTTTGTAAAGTAACCAGTCAGATATATATTTTAAATGTTTTTTGGTCGAAACTTAATGATGTATTTCCCTGTTTGAGTCATTCATCTGCAGTCAGAAGAAGTTTCAAGTCAAAGACTCACATGTATCTCATTGATTGGATATTGGGGCAGTACGGCGAGTCAAAACAAATCACGATTCCTCTTCTTGTAACCACGATAAATACACACTTGGCTCTGCTTTTTAGTAAATCATACACTATCCAGTGAACACGTCAGCTTTGAACACACAAAGAGCTTAACATCACCAACCCAGTGGTACTCCACTTGTTACACAAAGCTTTCCCAGTGCAAGGAAGTGCCGACAAACAGAGGGAAGCATCTCTCCTCTTGCGTCCATTGGACTGTGATCAGTACCTGAGGGTCGAGCACCACAGTGTTCTCATAAAAGGGGCCGAGACCTGCATGCACACAAGGTCACGCTGTGGTAATTTAGGTACACACCCAAGACAAACTAACGTCAAAGTGCCTGAATGCAAGGCCTTGTGCAACTAAATATATTAATGCGATTCAAAAAGGTTGAGGACCAGCAGCCGTGTGGACAGAGTGCTTTTGTCCACAAAGATTGCATGTAAAAATATGCAAAAGATAAGCACAGAGAAAGACACACAAACACGACAGACACTGGGGCGCTAAAGGTGAATCCTAACACAAGTGTCATACAAAAAAAGAAAAGCTTGGAGTAAATGCTTTCTATTTGTGGATTAGAGCGGTGGTGCCGTTGTCTTTCCTTACTCGTCCTACAAAGTCCAGAGCTTAAGTGTCTTCTGCCGTGTGGAAACATTCTCGATATCACATTATTCTTTCATAGCGGTGCTCGCTGTAACTCACCCCCCAAAGTTCTCAGATCACCTAACCAGATAAAAAAACACTTTGTCAGCAGCGGACCCAATGGCTCTCTGCTTGCACGGAAGCGGTGTGCGTGGACATGCAGTCGCTGTGCCACGCTTGTTCCTTTCTAATCAAGGATAGAACCAAAAAAAAAAAGGCAGGAATAGACTTTTCAGTCACACCCAGAATCTGTCAATCAATACATGTAGGCGTGCATTTCAATCTGCTGTACATTTATACAAATTAGCCTTTATGCTGTTACAGGGAGACTTATTCATTGTCACCTGTTGGTCGTGTTTTTAATTTAAGAAAAATCTACCAGTGTGTGAATCATGAGCACTGGATGGAGTAAAAACTGAATTTGGCCTATTAAGCCCTGTCACACTACACAGTGTCCATTATTTATCCACAACAACGCAATTGCCAGGGATCTCTAAGGATACAACTCGTACAGAAACACAAGTAAGCGGTGGACTTTCCTCTAAGGGAAAAAAAAGATGCTCAGAAACATCTTGGTTCCAGTGGAAAGCAGCGTACCGTAACCCTGAAAGACAATTCGGATCAAGTTGCAAACTCTGTTAGGTGCTATATATAGCTCACCAGGATATTGTAGATACACAAACAGCATGGAGCTCCTGTGCACAAACACACACTCACAGTTAAACAAGAAGGCTTGGTAGCTAAAGAGAAAAGTGGAGTATCCGCCTACGTGAACGGGCTCGAGTGCAGCATTGTATCAGCATATTCAAGGGGCTGAAGTGAGCACAAGAGGGTAGGATGGACACTTCACAGCCATCATAAAACCGTCACATTCTCATAAAAGGGAAAGAGTCGTTATGCTATTCACATTTTAAGAACGAACTTTGACCCACAAAACGTGCTACGCCTTGTCGGGTCGCTTTATAAACTGCCCGGCGTGTCTGAGTGTAAGTGACAGCAACATAACAGGACGTGCCCGCTCACGTGGAATATATATATATATATATATATATATATATATATATATATATATATACACACACATTTTCAATTACACGCACATCGTTCACCGAAGGTTCAATTAAAGCCAACCTCGACCAGAGTATCAGGACAGATAGCGTTGCGCATTAGTTCTCCGGAGTGACAGCGACAGGTAACGCCGTCGTCGTCACGCAGTCGGTCTCCTCTCGACGCGCTTTAGCCGCTTAGCTCGGAACCATTCAAAACGTTGCATCGGCTGCGTCTGTCAGATTAGCTTCCCGACGAGCGCGTGTACACACAATGCACGCGTTGTCAGGTTTTAACCGTGTTCGTGTGCGGCACGTGAAAACAACAACAACAACACCACCACAACGTGGAGCAAGCAGGGCATTCTGGTGGTGGGGAGTGTAGGTGGCACATGCCCCTGGTGTGAACCCCGACGCCCGCGAGCTGCTGCGCCAGCCGGGTTCCACGGGCTAACTTAGCATGATGCTAACTCACGTCCGCGCTAGGCTACTTGCTCGTAAACCGCCCCGCGTTGCCGTCGCCGTCACGTCTGCAAAGCGAACCGCCGCTAGCTAGCGGGATTTGAACTTTGTTAAAAGGCTCGCTAGCCACCCGGGCACTTCATTTTTTATAAAAAAAGGGAAAGGGAAAGTTACACGAGTACACGCGCGTCAGCAGGACGGCTCTGAAACGCAGCTAGCGCGCTGCGGCGGCGGAGGGGGGGGGGGGCAGTGTTTTGAAAGGTTAGCCGTGTTCTCCAACTTACCGCCCGCGTGAGATCAGAAGAGGCCGATGTCAGCGCTGACGGCCCGGGTCGACATTCCCCGGAGTGGCCGCCACCGCTTGCTGCGCTCGCCCGTACCGCTGCGCAAGATGGTCCCGTTCTCGTCGTTTGATTTTAAAAAAGAAGCAGCAGCTGGTGTCGTTTGACGGCAGAGGTTCAGCCGGCGATGAGCACCGCGGCGTGTCGCGGTGGTAAGTTTCGGTTTGGAAATCAGAAAAGGGGACGCGTCACCTTGCAGCGGTTCTTGACTCCCACTATCCGCGCTGTAGAAGCGCAGGACGTTGCGTTTCCCTGCGAGTCCGTATCGCTCCCAGCCGCCCAACGATAATTAGCGTGGCCACACGGGCATCCGTATGTCACCGTTCTGTCATTCCGGACATCTGTGCTGGCTCAGCCTCGGATACTTAGAGGCTATAAGAATAAATAAGTTACTTTTAAAAAAAGTATATATATTTCATATTTCTAGCCTGGTATTTTCAAAAGATTGTGATACCTCCACCCGCGTATTAAATTGTGTCGTTGTGATTTAAAAGGCACTATAGGCTCATCAATCTCATTTTCCATCGCAGAGCACGTCTTTGATGGACAGCGTCCTGTGGCGGAATTAAAATGAGTAGAAGAAGAAGAAGAAGAAGAAGCCTCTATGAAAGCACTGTTGACTGAGCTCGCGCGCCTCAGGTTTGGGGAATTCCGTTGATTACTCCCTCTGGTGGTTTGGGTAGCAGAAGTACGCAATTGGCAGCACATACTTTCAAGTCAACTTGGGATGAAAAAGGCCTTTCTTGCAATTACACAGTCTGCTTTTCTAAGTTGACATGGGGAGAAATGTTTCATCCAATTTGGGTAGCAGAGCCCTTGCGTTTTACTGCAGTAGTTCATCGAGTTAAGACCACTTACACGGTACTTCTAGAAGCAGCAGTAGTGCTGACTACCACTTAGCCCCACCAAAGCAATTGTCATGGGAACAAATTTTATTGTTCAGGTTGAGAGCAAATAATAAAATGATTTTATCCCACATGTTGCAAGTATTTTCCCTTGCAACTGTTAGCAACACTAATTGTGTAAAATGTAGAATGAAGCTTTGAACAACCCATAATATAGTTATGGGAGGGAGCTGCAATTATTTGTACCTAGTTTGTAAGAACTAGATCACAAATCTGCAGTGGAATACTGTTCAAAATGGAGCTGTGAACATATCTCAAACCACACAAGCACAAAGGATGGGCGTTAATCAACCCGAGGAAGACCTAGGACACCTGTTGGCATCGGACATTTTTAATCATTGAGTAATTTAATAGTCAGAGCTGGTAGATGAGGCCCAGGAAAGGGAAGTTTGCGGTCCCCTGCTGGAATTGTTGCCCACGCGACCTGACCCCAGATAAGTGGTTTAAGATGAGATGAGTATTTAAATGGCTTGAGATTTTAATCATGTCATCGTAGAGATGTGCACACTACATAATTCTTTCATCATATGTTGAATCATAACGGGCATAAGGCTCATTGGTGCTTTTATTTGCTTAAATAGCTAAATGTAAGAATAAGGAAACAAACCTTTAAGCTATGTGGGAGATTTTGTATTGCTTGTAATCCAAATAAAGAATATTCAGCTGCATATTCTGTTGATTGAATATTCTTAGGCTCTAGACATCACTCCCATGAAATAATCCAGCCCGAAGAGGCAAAAAAAACAGAATAAACAGCCAACAGAGAGACTACACTGCATTATAAAATGCAAAAAGATGGAGTGAATTCCATCCCACTGTTACCCCCTGAGATATGCTTTATCTGAGTCCATTATTCTCTGCTGGCTAGCAGAGGAATGAGCACAATTAGGTGAGGAAATGAGAGGAGAGGAGGAATTTGGACTCTGGTATTTGGAAAGAAAGAAAATGAAACATTGGAGGAAGGTCAAGAGAACATAATAAAGGAGCAGTGGGGAATGAGAGGACAACGGAGAGAGAGAGACAGGATGAGAAAGTGAAACTATGTTGTCATGGAAACTGGCATGGATCTGAAGAGCAAAACAAGAATGTAAATTGGTTCTCCCTTAGGAAATGTGATGGCGTTAGAGGGAAGAAATAAGCAGGGAGGTGTATTTAGAAGAGGACCTTCAATAATATCATATGCAAATAAAGATATTTGAAACCAAATGCTGTGTATTGGTAATGGTGATTACAAACCTGTGGAGCTTTAAAAGTAGGGGTTTATATTAACTCATCTACATATTACCGGCAGACATAATTGGAAGAAGGAGCCCTGATCTCTTCAGGTTGAGCAGTTTAACTACTATTTTAAAAATGTACCAGTTTGGGAGGTGCACAGGTCACAGTTGGAGGAAACTACTAATAGGGGTAAAGAACTTGTGGCTCGGGTGCTACTGCGTCCCAGGAAGTCATTTCCAGGTTGACATTTAGTGGGTAAGCATAGCGTTCTTTTCACACTTCATTCAGAAATATTATAGATGAAAATATCAAGCCAAAGTGGCGAGTTTATCAGCTTTAGAAAGCCACCTGTCAGCGGGTCCAAGAAGTCTATACAGACCCTTTGGGTAGGGAGCAAAAGGGAAAACGTTTTCTATACCTCCTCATTATTTCTCCCCTAACCTGTGTGCTTCATCACACTGCCATAGCCTTTGCCAGCACTTTGTTCTCAGAATATTCCTCTTTCAGCTGACTGCTCCAATCCCATCATTAGATTTGAAGGTAGTTGATGATAGGAATGTTGCCAAGAAACTAGTGGTTTCCGTGGTGACAAACACTCGCCATTGTGTATTGCAATGTAGGGAGTAAAGAAACTGGGTACATCTGAGGACAGCAAGTTCACAACAGACAACAGATCCTAACGTGTGAGATCTCGCTCCATTAATTCACGCAAATTCAACTATTAGTGATGCAATACACATGTTTGTGCACAAAGAACATATCTAAATTGTATAATGTCGTTTCATGCTGCATTTCGTCCATATTATTTGCAGAAAAGGCTGTGCACCCATTTATGAAAATGCCACTGTTAAAACACTGTAGCCTTAGCCTTAACATAAATCACAGCATTATCAGTCATCATTTTGGATCAGCTTTAAAATGACTGTAGACAAAACAAAGCATCAATGATACATCAGCAACTGACATTAATAAATAGCTTGAATGGCTTAATAATCAGCATCCATGTACAGCTTTGTTTGTTGAGTCAGTCTGGCTCTGTGTGTGTGTGTGTGTGTGTTTTTGGTGAGATGCTTATTGTAATTGGGGAGAAGCGGTTGCCGTGGCGGCTGGTGCAGGCACTGATGCACAGGATTGGTATCTAAATCTGGTTTCCCAGATAGGCAAAGTCAGCAACAATCATGTTTTCCTCTTGCCCCCGTGAAAGTCTTTGAAGGAGGACAGCAAGCAGACACTGAAATGACAAACTGCTTTGAAAGGGAGGAGGCGGAGCCAGGCCAAGCACTGATGGATGCTGAGCGGGTTTTCATCGATAAAGGTTTGGTCAATTTGCTGTTTGACATTTTTAAGCTGCCAATGTTGCAACAGGAGGCGAATCTTTCAGTCAAACTGCAAATGTTCTCATCCGATCTGAAGGTTGTGATGTGTTGAATCGACTCAACTGTGTACACAAGGTGGTAGTGTTGATGTGGGGCGAGATGAGCATCTAGGTTCTTTTGAAATCTCTGCAGTTTTGCTTGTGTTCATTAATAAAACACAAAAAGAGGTTAAAATTGCTTATCTTCAATTGGTGCAATGAATTAATCTAATTGAGAAACCAAGTTATAACCCAAATACATCATACCTTAGGTAAAGATTAGAACCTCGTAGGAGTATGTCTAACATTATTAGCCCCATAAACCCCCTACGCTAAATGAACCCCCCCCACAAAACCATAGAGCAGCCATGGTAGCAGAACACCCATGATCCATTAACGTTGAGTTGAGTTGAGAAAGCTTGCATAGTAGTAAATTCACTAAGTTGAGGACTAAGCAGTACTCCAAGCAGCAGTCGAGCAATGGAATTTGGAAAGTATCCAGGTATAAGTGGAAGCCACGTCGACCATAGTGTTCTCAAAGAGGTTTGAAGGTCCTTGACGAGAACGAGTCCCGGAGGGACGGCAGATTGCAGCCGATCACCCTCTCTTCAGATCGAGTGATGCGCTGCCGCCTGCCCTTGTCCTTGGTTGTGGCTGCAGCCGATCGGTTTCCTTGCTGGTGGTTAAAATTAAATAAACACTACCCCTTTTTTTTATCGTACTGGTGGTCAGAGTCATCTTCTCCTGCTCATGTTCGAATAGGAAGCTTAACCACACAACATGAAATCTCTTTTTTCATTGTGGGCAACAAACACAAACAGTAGATGGCAGTAGAGCTTCACTGAGGAATTTGAACAATGTCCACCGATCACCTCCTCAGTGACAGCTTTGCTTTGCTCAAAGACATGGATCACTGGAAAGCAGAAAAGGAAAAGGAAGTTAGGAGAATATTTATGTCTGACTCCAGATGGCTTTTAAAAACTGGCAGATTTCTATTTAGATTTTGCTTTAACTGCCATTTGGCTGCTGTGTTGGCAAAGCCTTCCTAATGCTCTGCAAATCATTTCAATGGCACAATAATTGTTTAGTCCTTGGCTATTGGACAAACTTTTCATCAGTGGATAAAATTAATTCACAGTCCACAAACCGATATTGAACACATTGAAAACTGGTGTGTGACAGTGACAGTAAAGCAAAAACGACAGTATAAACAGTATTCTGTTGTCAAATTTGACTTTTTTCTTTTGCAGGACAGCAAAAAGGAAGTCTGTTTTATGGTAAACAGCAAATAATTCTCTGTTTTTATAATAAATAATTACACTGATAATTGTACTTGTCTTTAACTCACCTCAAATAAATCCGGTCAATCTCAATCTTAATATCCCAATATTGAATTGGCATGTAAGAAGCCTACAAATCAAAATATTGCTGCACGATAACCTGCAACATCCGAACAGTTGCAACTGAATGCGTTTGCATTTGTGAGGGTAATGGGAGACACAGAGCAGGCCGTGCCTATGTTCATTTAACGGGGCCACATGAGGTGAGGTCCTGCTCTATTTGCGAATGGAAAGCTTGACCCTGAGCAGGTTATGGGGACTGTAGGTGTTGCTGTGACCTGTTTCAGAGCTCTGAACGCCTGGCGTGGCCCGCTCATGTCTCACGGTGAGCGTGAACGCGCATGTGGCCGCGTGTCTCCCTTTGAAACAGTCAGAGCCCGAAACAATCTGGATCCTATTAAACCGGTTTGTATCTCTCCCCTTCTCCCCTCCTGGTCGCGCTGTCTGTTTTTACTTTGTGTTATTCATATTCGCAACCCTCCGCCCCTCCATCTTCAGCATCCCACAATGTATTTTGTTTGAGACTGCTGGGCAGATGTTTCCGTGGTGCTTATACAATCCGGGTTCAGAAATCTGGATTTTAGGATTGATTGTATACTATAAAATGTAAAACGAGAGACAACCATTTTATTCTATTGATCCTGGAAGAAATCTTTTCCCCAGCCCACATGACAGAGCAGCTGGCTGAGAGTGGCCTCATCTGGAACTGCCATCAGC